ATCCAGTGGAGTTTTTTAAGTTTCCTTTTTTTTTTTTAAATTTTGGTAACTAACCATACCTAAATTATAAAATCTGTTTCCTCGTCAGTGTGTGAAGATTTTTCTGCTCAGCTTTTTATTATACTTGTTATGTCTTTAGTTTAGTTTCCAACGAATTGCCCCTGCATTGGCAAAGCCCCTTTATTGGTCCACCAATGAATTTGACAAAAGTTGTGCTCAAATTCCTCAAGCCTGTTAGGTTTCCACCCCCTACATATAGATGTGTGTGTGCTGGGTTGAGGGGGTGGTTAGAGGGTGCGTTCAAAGTTGCAGACCGTAACACGATCTCCCTTGGCTTTTGCTTTTCAATAAGCTCCCCGAGGTCTCCCCACTCACCTCTGTATTTTCCTGGTCAGCCTGGGATGGGTAGACAACTTATCTTAGCTATTCCATGACTCTCTAATTTCCAGACTCTCCATGTTAAATGTCCATCTGGTCTGCTACTCACCCCAAATAGGATTTGCAAACCCATGCTAACCAAGCTTCAGTTTTTCTCTGTTTTCCTACCAAGTTTGTGCCTGTTGGCTAACAAAGTGAAGGATCTACACACTCAGATCTAATTTAAGTCTGCTTCTTCTGGAAGAAAAGCTGCTGTTTCTTGCAGCCATCTCCAAGATGGTAAAGCTACCTTTCTCAATGACAACACTGGGGAAGGGGAATGGAAGGATTCCTAGGCAAGCAGAGTAAAGTCTCCTGCTATTCTACTGAAGTTCTAGCGTTTTTCTAAGAAGAGATGTTTCTCAATTACATGTTTGCCTTTGGTCTTGAAATGATAGTTTTTATAATTTGCTCAGTTTCATACATGGCTTTTTTCACTGACCTTTTCGTGGCCCCATAGCCACAAGCACCTCAACCCTCGCCCTGCCCCATTTGTGATCCTTATATTTTCTCTTTATTTTATTTTTTTAAGTTTATTTATTTATTTATTTATTTGAGAGAGTCAGACAGTGAGAGAGGGAATGCAAGCAGGGGAAGTGGGAGAGGGAGAAGCAGGCTTCCCGCTGAGTATGGAGCCCAATGTGGGAATTAATCCCAGGGCCCTAGGATCATGACTAAGCCGAAGGGAGAAGCTTAATGACCGAGCCACTAGGTGCCCTTTTTGCATTATTTTAAAATATGTATTTATTACTACTCTCTTCCTTATAACAATGATTTATTTTTAGTGCTAAAGGTGAACATAGATTCAACACTCACCCCAGACTTTACATAAATCTCTCCCCAGTCTAAAGTGTATTCTGTTGGAGAATCCTCAGGAAGTGCTCATGGGAGCAACATTCCCTGACTTCTTACACATGGCTCTAACAGGTTTTATGTAGTCTTCATATCAAAAAGCTAATTTTGCTGAATATAAAATCATTAGCTCACATTTTCTTTCCTTGAGTACATTAAATATGTTGCTACATTATTTTTTGGCATAAAGAGTTGCTGTCAAAAAGTTAATAATAATCCTATTTTTCCATAACTGACTTTTTAAAAATGCCATTATAGTAATTTGCTTAATGTCTATTCTGAGCCTATTTTCCTACTTTTTCAGTATACTCTTTTAATATGTATTTGCTAATCATTTTCTACTTTAAGAAACTGTACTTGAGTTACAATTTTTAGCCTTTTTTTCTGTCTACCGCTTATTTACTTCAGTGCCTTCTATTATACACACTTTCAATCTTCTTTGCTTATCATTTTCTTTGAAAGTGATACTTTTTCTTTTAAAATCTATTATTTATTAATTTATTTAAAAATTCCCTTTTATTCGATTTTAAAATTTCTTTTAGTTCATTAACTTTTGGGCCAATATGTTCTTGTTTTTCTTCTAGTTTGCTCTTAATTTCTACAATGAGTTGTTATTTCCAACCATTCCTGGATTCTCTCACCTGTCTCTGCTGAGCTTCCTTCTTTCCAGTTGACTCATTTAGGAGTCTTGTTAAAATTTTTTGCAGCTCATATCATTTCCCTTATTTCTTTCACCTCGTTTTGAGTTATTAGTCTACAGTTTTTATTTACTGTGAAATTATCTTTTTCTAATATGCTGCCATTGTTGAGGGGATATTCTTTTGTTCTCTCTTCTCTTTCTTCTCATGGTCTCTTTATGTGTGATTTTACCCCATTCCTTTTCTATTGCTCACGCTTAAGGTAAATGCACGTTGATTTTTGCTATGGAAGAGTGGACCAGGCTAGCTTTTTTAAAGTCTTCAGCGTCTCTAGAGCCCTCTCTTCTGTTATTTTCAAGGTAAATAATATGCTATTGTACTTTCTGAGATACACTTCTTTTCCTTCTATCCCTCACTTTTACCTAAATTGCTTGTTTGCTTTCTCCTTTTGGACCTGTCCTGTTTAATTTGGATTCTACTCCCAGGGTTTTCTTCCCAGTACGGGATCTGTCTAAAAAGCACTCGCTGTCCCAGCACTGACAAGCCTCTTCTTGTTTCCCTTGAAGGTACTGGTAAAAAATCTGATGCCTGCAAACTCCTTTCTACTTTTCTGCTGCTGTTCTCAGATTAGTCTGCATGTCTTTCCAGTTGCTTTTGTTGGGGGGTGAGGGAGGGGGTAGAGGAGAAGTTCTATAGTTCTGAGGGAAATAAGAAGCCCAGTCGATTTTCCTTGTTGATTTCTGCTCAGTTGCTGATACTGCAGTGGTCCAGTGATTTGTCCCCATCTATTAATGGGGACGTACTGTTAATGAGTGTTCCTACACATATTTCCTATGTGTTTTTAGGTTTGCTGCTCTAGTTACTTTGTCTGTTTTTATAGGGAGTTTCAGGAATATTTAAAAAGTCAGGTTGGTTGCATTCCCAACTTCCCAGAATCTGGATCAACTTTACAAAAATTTAATACTTACATATTTGGGTAATACATATTAAAATATAATTAACATATCAAGTGGATTTCATGCACTTCTCAAATATTAGTGCCTAGACCATCCTTTGTTTAAAATAAACTTATGTAAGTAAAACAATTATAAAAACAATTACAGTAATATCAGGAATAAAATTAAATGGTAGTTATGATAGTAATGATGGTAAGCAGTCCTGGAAAGCAGTTTCAGTGGTAGTATACAAATAACTCTATTTGGAAGTACTGTTATAGCTAAATTGTCTTAACCATAAAAGACAGGATTTTTTTTTCTTTTAATGATGGGATTGGAATAATATTTGGAAGTGGTAATGAGGAGCAAGAAAGGCACTGGTCCCACCTCCTCATTTTGAGGAAATAAGGGCATAAGAAAATAAACAGCCACTATTTGAGAATGATGTAGGAAAGATGTGCCTAATGGAGAGGCCTGGTTTCAATTAAGGAAGGCAGGAGGAACGAATTTTCAGTAAAGCTTCTATTGCTAAGACATTGGAATATAATGAAGTCCTACAGGGTGCATATAACAAACTGAGAAATATTTCACTTAAAAATAAATGCCGTTGATAATAATGAGGATACTCATACCCATTAAATTCATAGACTTTTTTTAAAAATTTATTTATTTATTTGACAGAGAGAGAAATCACAAGTAGGCAGAGAGGCAGGCAGAGAGGGAGGAAGGGAAGCAGACTCCCTGCTGAGCAGAGAGCCCGATGTGGGGCTCAATCCCAGGACCCTGAGATCATGACCTGAGCCGAAGGCAGAGACTTAACCCACTGAGCCACCCAGGTGCCCCCAAAATTCACAGAATAAGTAGCTGAATGGTCAGAAGAAAGCTGTTAGTATAAGGATAATCCTTGCTATATAGGTTATAGTAGTTTAAATAAACTAAAAACCCAAACTGAAAGAACGTATGATTCAGTAATTGGAAATGACAAACCAAATGATGATGTATATATATGACAGCAAAAAAAATCGAGCAAAAATACGGGTAACATTTGTTGGTTAAAAAGACTGCAAAGCATGAGAAAACATATGCATACAAACAAGAGTTGTATAGACATGGAAAAAAGAAAATCAGATTTTCAGAATATTAAGATGATAGAGTTCATTTGTAAACTATTCTTTGATGTTATTGTAGTTTAGTCACAAATGCGTATGTGTGTGTGTATGACTTTGCAAGGAGAGCCTGGGAAACTGATATTTGTCTCATATGACCTTTAAAATGAAGAATAAATAAATAAATAAATAATCCATTAGCATCAGTGCCTTCTTCAGAGTTTCCTTATGTATCTTTCCATATCATTCCCTCTTTGGAGGAATATTTGTAAGTTCTAAAAAGACAGCTCAGAGGGGCAATAAGGCAGTAAAAAGATCAGCGAACAGCAGAGTCTGGCAGGAGGGAGGGATGAATAGGTGGAGCACACAAGACTTTTAGGGCAGCGACACTATTCTGTGTGACACTGCAATGGTAAATACAGGTCATTATACAGCCCTCAACACCCATGGAATGTTCAGGGCCAAGAAGGAACTCTAATGTAAACAAGCTATGGGCTTGGGATGACAATGATGTGTCAATGTAGCTTTATCAATTTTAACGATACAATCACCACTGTGATTAGGAATGTTAAGGGGGGAGGGGTGGCTTGTGCATGCAAGGGAGACAAGGGAGGTATGGGAACTCTCGTACTTTCCATTCAATTTTGCTATGAACCTAAAATGTCTCTTAAAAAAACTTTAAACCTATTAGGATTTTTCATAAGACAATTAGAGGCCAGGCTATAAAGTTTTATATTCCAACTGATCAAAAAGATATGATCTGAAGCCTAAAGCACCGTTTTGGGGTCAAAGCAGAGGATCATACCAGATTGTGAGTTGGACTCTTTTAGGGGAGTTTCCTTGTAATTTTTCAGTGATAAGCAGCTCTCTGATTCTCAGTGGTTCCTTTTTGCCATTTATACAATGAGGAGTATAGTGGGGTTTTGCCTTGTCCTAGGTGTCTCCTGAGAGCAGATGAAGCTCTCCACTAAAACTGTTCTTGTTTCTTTCACAAAAAGCATTTTATAGACCGATCACATATTCATGTCTCTTTCACCTATATTTTGTTATAGTCACACAGGATGAATTGAGAAGCAGCCATATAATAGAAGTACAGATAAATCAGACTCTGGAAATACCATGCTTTCAAAACACCTCCTCAGAAATTTCGTCTGAGTTCACCTTTGCATGGTTGGTGGTAAGTGTTGCCCTTTTCAGTGAATAACTACAATGATCTTTAAATATTAATGAGATAGAAACGAATAACAAGTAATAATAGGGAAGGAAGCACACAGGTAGAAGGTTGGGGACTGGCAGGGGAAGGAAGGGTGAGTACTAAGATTCCTTCCAACTCAGCAAGCCTCTGGGTCTATGAATACAGTAATTTAAAACTTAGTTCCTAAAGGTTAGTTTCTATATCAAGCCATATACCAAACCCTGGTTACAGAGAGAAAAGAGTGTGATGGTGTCCTGGAGAGGAGCCACATGCAGCAGAAACCCCTACATACAAATAATTGTCTTATAAACAACATATGCAGAGGGAGAGACCCCTTTTCCTAGAATGCTTGCTGCTACATCCTAGGGAATACGCAACATTCCTTTAGATGGGGACACACAAACTCTAATGCTTACAAGATACAGGAGGAAACATACACAAGAGAAGCAGGACTGTATGAGAAGCAGCCAGCTCAGTTGTATTATCACCACAGGTTGGGGCAGGCCCATAGCTGCCATGTTTTCTGACATGGGAAGGGAGGGAGGAAGAGAGGGAGGGAGGGAGGGAAAAGAGGGAAGGGAGGAAGGGAAGGAGGGAAGGGGAAGAGAAGGAAGAAAAGGAAGGAAAAAAAAGAAAAAGAAGCCAGAAACCTAGATTTCTATGAAAAACTTCCCAAGGCAATCCAACCAAATGGCAGCTAGCTTTAATCTAAATCTATAGTAAACCTCTAATATTGTTAAATTGGTTGATGACACAAGACTAACACAAAGATAACCATAAGCGCTGTTTTGAGAATCACATAATGGGGTGTTGATTTAGATGATCCAGAACATGATTTTGATTATTTTTAGATTGTCATCAAAATGAAAACACAAGATTTAAAAATTCTTGCCGAACTCCTAGATCTCCATGAATACAGTGGCTGATACACTTGCAAAATGTTGTATCCACATAAATGATCACTCATATTATGAGTTACCTAAATTTTTGTGGACCGGCTTAGAAACTAGACCCTTCATATACAAAGATCTGTCTGACAATGTGCCAAATCCAAAATAATGGACTTGCAAGGAGGCCTCAGAACACAACCTACTGATGAGTTTTCAGTGTCTAGATATATTTTTTTTGGATAGTCAGTAGGATGAAAAGAAAAAAAAATGTTCTAAAATAACTTTCTCAGACTGTCCTAAAATCTACAGTGTCTTTTTGTCTTCTGTCAAAAAACACCTTCTCTCCCCTTTGTACGGTTTGGTTTCCAAAACGTAGATCTTCCTATCATTACATCTATCATTAGTATAAGTCAGTTGTTCTTAACAAACATGATACAAAGTGGCTCTCAGAAAAAAGTTGAAAAGAGGACATGATCTCAAGAGGGCAGGAACTGGCTGTCCTAGACATGACAGCAATGGAAGGTCACTGCACCTTGCTTGCGTTATTCATAGCTTCCACCCCAGGGCAAACATTTCCCCTCTAATACCACAATTTCACTATCAAGGGGAATCATCAAGTTTAATAGTAACAATAATACAGTTTAATAAAGCTTGACTGTAGGGATTGATAGTGGCTAGTAAATTGATCTATAATGTTCTTACCTTATCTAAAGGCTGGGTTATCTGTTTTTCCAAGCACAGGTCGATACTTCAGCCAGCCTGTGTCTTTTGTGTGACTATGAGCTTCTCCAGGGCAAAAAACTATGCCACTCATTTCAAAAATCCCTAGCCTCTCGTTTAGTACCTAGAACATAGGCGCTCAACAGAGACTCAATAAATAATTGAATGGATCTGTTTCTCTTTGTCCCTCTCCCCCACAGTCCTATTCATTGGCCTCATATTAAATGGTGGTCACTAAATTCATGCTGCCTGTTTAACTGGTTAATGAGCATCTCATTAGGTATCAACGACTAGATAACTGATAAGGCGTCTTCTATGCAGTGGTTGTCTTCAAAGAAACGAAGAAGGCTATGCAGACATTACCTGTGGATCTTGCCAGGGCATGTAAGATAAATAAGGGATGGAAAGAGTGCACCTAAGGTCACACAGTGAGGCAATCCTAAACTTCAAGAACCTCCAGCCACGCTGTCACTTTGAAGGATGTACCATGATACAGATGACTTGAGGAATCTTTTTGAAAGAAACTTCTCTTCAAAGGGAACATCGTATTGGCAAATGTGCCGAGGAAATTCCTACTGCACATTCCCTTTTAAATGTCAAAATCTATTTGCTCCTCCGATTTACATCTGTGCTCCGCACGGTTGGCAGCTGTGGGATTCTGCAGGTCTGAGAGGAAATCCGCTGATGTGCTCGTATTAGGGAATCCACCGCAGCTGGACACAAATACCCCTCAGTCCATATTTTCGTTCTTTTATCTCTTGTTAAACTGGTAGTAGTAATCATAACAAGCCAGTTGTTTTTTTTTTAATTTTATTTTTTATAAACATATAATATATTTTTATCCCCAGGGGTACAGGTCTGTGAATCGCCAGGTTTACACACTTCACAGCACTCATCATAGCACATACCCTCCCCAATGTCCATAATCCCACCCCCCCAACCCCCTCCCCCCATTAACCCTCAGTTTGTTTTGTGAGATTAAGAGTCACTTATGGTTTCTCTCCCTCCCAATCCCATCTTGTTTCATTTATTCTTCTCCTACCCCCTTAACCCCCCATGTTGCATCTCCTCTCCCTCATATCAGGGAGATCATATGATAGTTGTCTTTCTCCGATTGACTTATTTTGCTAAGCATGATACCCTCTAGTTCCATCCACGTCGTCGCAAATGGCAAGATTTCATTTCTTTTGATCAAGCCAGTTGTTTTTTAAAAACGTGACACAATGTGGCTTTTAGAAAAAGGTTAAAGAGCGGAGGTGGTGAAGATGAGCTGAGGAGGGCAGGAGCCTGCTGGACTGAGCTCAAAAGCTGCAAAGTGCCCCCCTCCCCTTCAATGCCGCACTAAAACCTGGAAGCAATTTTTTTTTTAAGATTTTGTGTGTTTATTTGACATTGAGAGAAATAGCGAGAGCAGGAACACAAGCAGGGGCAGTGAGAGAAGGAGAAGCAGGCTTCCCACTGAGCAGGGAGCCAGATGCAGGACTCAATCCCAGGACCCTGGGATCCTGACCTGAGCCAAAGGCAGACGCCTAATCAACTGAGCCACCCGGGCATCCCTGGAAACAATTTTATAAGCTAAAATTATTTTAATCTAGGTCATTGAAAAACAAAAGGCATGTCTTCTTGTATGTGGGATTTTTTAAGTTCTAATTAATTCTGTTATGACACTCATGGGAAAGATGGTCTTTGAGATCCCTCAGTTATAAAAAAGTATTTGTACCTGACCCCATGCAAAGGCTGTGTTAAATGTGTTCATGGGGTGGTTTCTTTGCATTGGGGAAGTTACATTCCAGGATGGCAACTACATTGAAGTAAAAGTCATCAGATGCAAATAGTGTATCCTACATTGATCTAGTGTGAGAGGTAATTAAATAAACACGAAAGGTTAATCCTTCAGTGGACACTGAGGGTTTATGTACATGATGGGATAATGAATTAAGAAGTCATAGGATGTTTGTGTTTAGATGGTATGCAGTTGGTGGGTAAAGGACAAACAATACTTCTCCCAGTTTATGTTCTGGCGCACAAGTATAGAGTCATCCGGGAAATTCTGCAGACTTATCCTGGGAGCTTCTAAATACCGTCTGATATTCTGTTTTCATTCCAGGGTATCACCCTGATTTCCTACAGCATAAATTTAAGTTCAGTCCAACAAACATACATGACTCTGTTTTGAGTGTTAGGTCCTGTGGGGATACAAAACTACATCGCATATATTTCCTGCCATGAAATACAGCTTTAATAAAAACATAAGAAATGGCAGCCGAAAGGGAAAATCGTTTGGTTCTGCATAAATGGACCTGGAAAAGCTTCTTAGCTTATGTTTGAGCTGGATAATTAAAGAACAGCTGGCCAGCAAACATCAGACATGTACTACACCAAGACCCTGGGACTGTGAGTACAAGTTGGAAATGGAGATGAAGAGAGAGATATCAAAGAAATGTTTGATTCCAAAGTTGGTGGATAAAGAGAAACCCACGATTTTTTTCCTTAAAATCATGAAAAGAAGTCTATATCAGACTCAGACAGTGCAATATTTGTGATAAGGGCACATAACTAAAACCTATATGCTTGTATTTCCTTACATTTCTGTCTATAAATAAATCTTTTCTATATACTCTTCTTCAATATTTGTAATCTTTTATATTTAAAGAAAAAGTAAACGGGAATTATAATCAATGTTGGCTTCCCATGCCTTTGGGAAGCCTAGCTATTCAGAAAGCAAGACTCACCTTCTACCTGATGGCAGCTGACCCTAATTGTCCTCACTGCAATCAGAAATAGAGTAGTAGCCAACCCACAAAGGACTAACAACCCATTGTGATAATTGGAAAAATACTGTTCTGGTGCTCTACAAAGGAGACTTGGGGAGTTTTGTAAGCAGCCCTCCTTGACAGCACTGACTGGATGGAAAATAAATAGGAGAAATGTGAAGATAGGAAGCAGTTTGGAGATAAAGAAGTAATAGCTGATACAATTAACAGAATTTATTGAATGTGCTCTATACACTCAACACCTGACATGGGCTGTGGTCAACACAGCCAGGTCTGACATGGTGCTCAGGCCAGCCTGGAGATGAGATAACATCACTAAATCAGATAGTACCAAGGTCTCTTTTCTGTATTGGAAATTCTGGTTCTAGAGCAAAAACAGGAAAGCCTTCACAAATTATTTTAAGGTTTGTCATTAAGGTCATTGAGCAACATATAAGAAGAGCTTTTCATGATTCATTATGACCCTGCCCAACCCTCATCATGCCAAATATTTTATCCAAATCCTGCCCAAAATTAAATTATACATTTATTTCTCTTCTATGGGTCCTGATTTTGAGGGATTTTTTGTGAATTTATTCTTCTCCTCAAATAGACTAGAAGCAGGAAAAGCAAGGACTGTTTGTTCTACTACTTTTATGAGGCTGAGTATAGCAAAATCATTAATGGCATGAGTTTTGGGAAGGAAATTGTTGTTTTCAAATTCTGGTTCCTCTGTTTACTGTGTGACCTCGGAACTAGGATTAGGGTGAGGTGAGCAAGATCCTCTCCTTAGGTACAAAATTTAAGGGACTGCCCCCAAAATAGTAATTAAGATACATATTTTAATGAACTTTTTTAAAACCAAAATTTAGGGAAAATGCATGATGAACAAAATATCAAAATTTTAAACAAAAGTAAGCTGTTGTTTTTGTCTGCTTTGAGACCCAGTTATGCTATTCACGAAGTATTTTCCAATTAGCCTGTGGTTTCTGGGACTTCATGGTATCGTGTCCCCCATGGGCACAACTTTACACAGTCATAAAAATTTCCTAATTGTAGATTTTTTATTAATTTTTTCCACCTGGTCAAAACACGGGAGAATATTTTACGAAGAGTATATAGAGGTGTACATTTTTCCTTTTGTCTCAGAATTCAGTATGACTTAGTACATGTTGCCTAACAAAGTTTTAGATCCCTCCTGTGTAAAAGGGGATGATTATAGTATGGACCTGATGGTGGTATTGTGATGTATAAAGAAGGTAACACAGACTAAATAACTTAGCATAGTACCTGTACTCAGCACATATTTAAAGTTCATATTTAAAGGATCCATTTTATGACTCTCTGTGATTCTTCAGTTTAGCCTTGCAGATGGTGAATTCTCATGAAATAGAGACGATCATCAGTGAGGCTGGAGGACAGCGAGTTTGTCTTACTTGGGTATCTACTGAGTGTCGGGACCAACACACGTGTACCATATATATTAGCCAGTTCAGGCTGCATTCCTCATTAAATCATATGGGTCCTCCAATTTGAGAATCCCATTAAGTTTTAGGAATATTTATTAACATTTTAAAAAGTTGTCATTTTTTTTTCTTTGAAGAACAAGAAAAAAACACAAACAGGGAAGAGTAAAGACTCGGTACGAGACCAATTACCGGTCTGTTTCCAGCAGACCAGGTTACCTAAGATCATTATTATCAGGTAGAGTTGAGGCTGACCCCTATCACCAAAGTGGATCAGTATATCATAAAAGAGCTCCTTCAATCAACAAATTGCCCACACCTCTGCAATCAGCAATTTGTATAAAGGCCTTCGGGTTCCTGGAATTTCTTTTAAATTTCTCATTCTGGATACTCAAAAAAAAAAAATTCCTTTTATTATTTTGTGATGGTTTGGTTTTTATTAGTACATGTTGTCTCTGAGGCTTAATTGTCCCTGGACCTGGGCGTCTCTGCTTTTCGATGCTGTGACTCAAATACCTTGCGCTGTTTGACCTTTGCACAAATTACTTAGTTTTAGTTTATTCCAGATTGTCATAAGGAATAAATGAGACTTAAAAGGACTTTTCAGAGTGTCTAAAACATAGTAGGTGCTAAATAAAATTAAACTATGATTAGTAAGAATATAAAATTTTAGTAGTGGTGGTAACATAATATTAGTATTATTTTCCCCTCTCCAGCTCCAGACGTTTCATTGTTCGCCTGAGCTCGTTTTCTCCCCACCTCTTCTCCCCTTTGCTCTGTGAAGGCGGCCATTCACACGCAGGTTCTTGCCTCAGCCCCCTATTTAACTCCTACATCAATTAAACTATGCCAGCCAGCCACACGGAGCTACACAAGAAAGGAAAGGCAGCTTTTGTCTTCCTAGTCTGCAAGCTCAGCTTCTGACTGCCTTTCTTCCCACTCAAAGTAGCAGGTGGAAATGTTCCACGTGGGGAGTCATTTACTCAGTGACCAAGAAGCCTTTTGAACTCTTAAGATCCTCACAAAAACAGAACCTGTGCATGAAGCAAGAGCTGTGTCAGTGAGCGGGTTGTGGAGACCTGCAGGGGGAGCCTGCTTCCTTAATGATTGGCCTCCAGATCAGCAGCCATGGACTGAAGGGCCTTCCACGGTCTTCTGACACCACCCAATACTCAGGACTCCTTTCAGAGGCCCTGTCTCCAGGATACAAGCTCTCTGCCTTTAATTTTCTGTGCACATCTTCATGAGGAAGATAGCAGCATTGACACCTGGGTCCCTCTTTTTGGGGGGACAAAGGTATGTACATTGTTTCAGGAGGAATATCTTGAGCAGGGTATCATTCTTTGCAAGGGGCACTAACTACGTATGGGTATGTAAAGCTGATACCAGTCCTAGCCATATGACCCTAAAGAATGGTGTCTTACAGAAGACGTTCTATGAAATATACTCTGGAAATACCTGTATGAACTATTTAAGAAGTCTGCCTTCATATTTCCACCATTTCTGCTCCTCACTCATACTTGAATTCTCTTACTCACTTAGCTTCCATTTCTACTACTCTGAATCATCCGGCCTTTTATCAGATTTAAGCCAGAGATTCCAAGCGACAGATCTTTCTTTTCATTTGAGTGTGTGTGTGTGTGTGTGTGTGTGTGTGTGTCCTTCCCCATCAAATGTACTACTTGCTGTTCAACCTTTTTCATCTTAGTTCCCTTCATTTCCCACTGATCTCTGCATGTCATGATTCATCTGTTGTTTAGAGTTAGACCAGTGGTTCTCAAACCCGGATCCTTTGAGGACCTTTTAAAAAAAAATGCCCCAGCCTGAGTCTCATCCCAGAACAACTGAGGTCGAATCTCCAGAGGACAGACTTTGGGCATCAGAATGTTTTCAAAGCAACTCAATTGAGAATATTAAGTTATACTAAAGAAGAATGAGGGCATAACCCCTCCTCTACCCTTGTGCCCCTCAAGAGTCCCCTCCTCACTGGCCCTTAGCACATATACTGACACTGACCAGCATGGTGATATCCCAGGGATCTTGTCCATGGAAATTCTGGGTATGGCAAGAATAATAGGAGCATTTCTTCACAGACCCAGGAAAGGATATGGAATAGAAGAACCAAATACTTCAAATAAATTCTGATTTGTGGAACTCAGATTAACATTTATAGTCTACCCTTTATGTGTCCTCCTTGAAGGTAACAGAAATAAAGACAGAAGGGCAAGGACCAAGACTAGGAGGCACCTAGGGCACAAAATTTAAGGAGCACTTACTCTCAGACGCCCACCCTGTACTTACAGGATCCTGAGACTGAATACCTCCTTAAATGTTATGCCCTGGGAGTCTCTTCACCTCATCCTAGTCCTGGCCCCAAGGGAAGCTAAAGGAGCCCTTTTCTAAAGGGAAGATAGAAGGGAGGACAACTATAATCCAGTTTAAGTGAAGATTTAAAACAAAATAGTACAGGACATCTTAGCATTAAGATTCTTGAACTTAAAATAAGAACTACGGTCTTTCATTAGCCCCCAGTGCTGTGCCCTCCAAATCGCAGCTTATGGAAAATTGTGAAAAGAAAGTTCTAGTCAGAACATCATCAAGTTTCTACTCACTTTAGGAGAGGGTGACTGTAGTTGTGAACTGACAAGTGTAAAGATCTTTTCTCTAGTAATATACTAAATCTCTCTCTCTTTTTTTTAAGATTTTATTTATTTATTTGACAGAGATCAGAAGTACCCAGAGAGGCAGGCAGAGAGAAAGAGGGGGAAGCAGGCTCCCTGCTGAGCAGAGAGTCCCGATGCAGGGCTCCATCCCAGGACCCTGGGATCATGACCTGAGCTGAAGGCAGAGGCTTTAACCCACTGAGCCACCCAGGTGCCCCAAGCGATGATAAATATCTCTTAATTTCACTTCTTCATTCATCATCTCTGTTTTTACAGATATAAATGAATTCATGCATATGGAACATCTAGCCCAGAGCTGACATGATTGAGTGTTCAGTAACTAGTGACTGTTTCTTTCAGCAGGAGAATAATGGAACTTGGGAAACACTCATCACCCAAGGACACTCCATCAGCAATTCCACATTGTTTAAAGACAGAGTCAAGCTAGGCACAGACTATAAACTCTACCTCTCTCCAGTCCAAATCCATGATGATGACCGGAAGTTCTCCTGCCATGTTGTGGTCAGATCTGGCAAAATCTTGAGGCGTTCCACCACAGTCAAGGTTTTTGGTAAGAGATTTTGTTCTCTGGGCTCCCTGCCATCTTCCTGTCCATTTCTCCTGCCTTGCTCCACTCTGGAAAGAAAGTGCCCTGTTAACTGGAGAGCAGCTCCCCAGGGTAACTGTTGCCCTTGAGACTGTCATTCACGTTAAGGGTGGGATAAGGAGAGAAGTTAAAGAACAATGATTGAGTTGATAGAATAAAATCACACAGAGAGTGATTGGCCCTAGATTGACCAATTTCCTGGTGACCACTCCTTATTTACAACTTTAATGTTTCCTGTGAATACTAGAAATCTCTTTAATTATAACTACCAAAGTCTGATTACTTAGTTGTCTAATTGTCTTGGTTGCTTGTGGGAGGAAGGTGAAATAGGACCAGTACGAGAAAAGGAAAATGATAAACACAGCTCCAAAGAAACTGCAGTTCCTCCACCCCCCGCAGGGCCAGGGCCTCAGCAAAGGAGCCTGTGGGGATGGCCCTCTGTCCCTGCATTCACAGAAGTGTGGAGCGGAGCTGAGATATCCACCGTGGCCTCACTCAAACTGCACAGACTCTGCAGGGAGGAAATTTGGGGGAAATGTGAAAATCCTACTTTGCTCAGTGATACATGGCAATATTAATAAATACAAACCCCTTTGTTGTTGTTGTTGTCTCCAAGAACTGTGTTTTTTTAAAAAATCATTTTTAAATGAAGGCAAAGAGAAAAGCAGTGATGTGGAAGAGCAATTAATTATTTTTGCAAATGAGGTAAACAAAGAAGATAACTTCACAGAATCTAAGGGCATGAGCTACTAGATTTTCCTTCAGTTCTCTGAATGACTGGAAGAGTGAATCATCTTTGTTTTTACTTAGAATCTTACTGCATTATTTTTAAAGATCAGAGAGTTCAGGATGTTGAGGGAAATGCAGACCCTGTGGTGTATAAAGACAGAAGCAGCTGCAGCCAAGATTTCTGTAGTTTGAAGTCTTATGCTTATAGCCCTTCCTATATTGCTCTCTGGCTCACCCTCCTTCCCTCCCTCTCCTTCTGTCTCTCCTTGGGGGATGGGCTAAGAGATAATCAATCACCCCTGATGATCAGGTTGCTTATGGAGCCTGAACAGTGCTCTGTGAAGTGGTGGGAGAGACTGTTCATCTCTCATCAGTTTTACCCTCCACTCACTTACTGGGGTGTGACTGTCTTCGACCCAACATGAAATGGACTCATCTGGCCTGACTTTCGGCAAATCGATGAAGGCAGATATCCAGGATGTGAAAAGAAATGTCGATTCTAAGTTAGACGAACTATGTCCCATTGGACCAAGGGTTTTTGCTCCTCAACGTGATCTAACTGCCTTGTCAACACTTAAACTGCACCCCGTATCTCTCTGCGACAGATACTTCCATCTTCTTCTCGAATGCTTTTCACTGTTTCACGTCTCGCTCTTCTGGCCCTGTTGGTGTCTACAGCTCTCTCTCAGTTTCGTCTTTGATCTCCTTTCAGTAGATGCTTAAAAATAAGAGGTTCTGCCTGCTCGTTCATGAGCTCTTCCCTGCTTCCTGGCTTTCCCCCTTTAGCGAATGGGCTATCCAGGCTATGCTTGGCTGGTCTCATCCAGTCCTTAGACAGTGTGTGTGTGCCACCAAGTGCATATTACAGTGGCCCTGGCATGGAAGGAAAATACATGTCTTATTCAGAACCCATTCAGCATCCCTCAGTGATTCCTCAAATAGAACAAGCCAAAAATTAAAACTTGAAAACCTTGACATAAATACCCACGTGTAGCACAGACCCACTCCAGCTTGGATGCCCTAAATCCAACTTATTTCTTCTTCCTTAATAATGCCTCCATTCTCTAACAATCCAGGGACCAGAAGCTTCCCCAGCATCCTTGCTACTTCTTGCCCCTCTCTCACTAATCTCCTCTGACTTTACTTTCCTTAGCAGGGAACCTGCCATCACAGGTTTGCCCCCTCCTAACACCTGACCCCTAAACCCAATTGTCCTGAGCCTCAAAAGAAATGTCTCTCTAGCACCCTTGCAGCTTTCAGTACCTATTCTTCCTTTCAGGTCCTTCATTTCGATGGTATTTGTTGCTAATATGAAGTCAGAATCCCCCTCATCCCGTTAGTGTTGTAGGGTGTATTTTGGTTTGGGTTCCGCTGAAAAAAACCACGGAGACAGGATTTGAGTTAAATTAATTTATTTGAGATTTACATATTGAGGGAATTTATGGACGGAAACATCAGGAGACGAGTGGAAAAGCCAAGGAACGGAAGGAAGATAATGAAATGTACATGACCACGCCGGTTACCAGTGTGGGCTTAGAACTCACTCCCACAGGGGAACTCTGGAAGAACACACATCAGAGTTCTCTCCCAAATAAAGTCAAGGAAGTTGGAGTATTATTCGCCCACTCCCCATCTGTTATCACCATTAACTCTCTAGACTTACAGTTTGCCCTACTTGTGGACTAAGTGTGCTCCCATAAATCCTTAGGAGGGACTCATGAGGTATGCCCAATGAAAGGCCTTCAACACGTAGAAGAAAGTGCCACATGGCTGTACCAGACACTGACAGCACCTGTGACAGGCTTACTGTCTGCCATCAAGAACTGTCTTAAAGTCACTTCAGTTCAACATAATGTACCCAGTGCCTGTTTTGTGCTGGGCACTGTTAAGTGCTAGAGATGGACACATGAATGAAACAGCCTGGCTTCTAGGCACTTACGATCTAGCAGCACATCAGAATCACTGAGATATTCTCTGGTGCTTTCTAAGATCTATATTTTCCCTGAAAATGTAAATTTCTTAAGGACAGTAGAGTTGATCTGTCCACCTTTGTTTCCTAGGCATCTAGCATATTGCTGGGCATGTGGTGGGTGTTTAATAAATATCTGATGATGAATCTTACACACCCATGCACGTGCACATGTGCACGCATACACACGCGCACACACACACACACACACACACACACACACACACACTCATGGCCAGGTCAGATGACAGTCAGTGCCATTAACTGTGTTTTGTTTGCCTTTAAGCGAAGCCAGAAATTCCCATGATTGTGGAAAATAACTCTACAGATGTCTTGAGAGAGGTGAGTCACATTGAAGATTTTGAAAATCTGTAGTATAATATAACAAGGTGTGTTTTGTCGCATCATTGTCCAGAATGTTTTCTCAAAGCACCTTAATCCTTGGCTCTCAGCCAATTAATTTCTGGTGAGGAAGAAGGGAAACTGAGTTGAACCTAGAAACCAAATGGGAATCTTACTTTCTGACTTCGGGCTCTTAGAACATGTGATCTGTAATCCTTATTAATCCTTAAATTTTCTGGAAAAATTGTCTCAATAGTTTAAATTTCTCCTTAATAAAAACTGGAGAAGATAGTGAAAGAAATGTAGGACAGAAAGCAGTGTGAATCCTGGTATAAGAATGAGACCTTTGCTCAGCTGCATTTAATTTGTTCTAATCCATTTCCTATAGCATCTTTCCTGTAGTTTTTATTTGGAAGTAACAAGAGGAAAGATGCCCTTCTGTAACTCCTTCAGAATCCTGGCTATTCCTCAGGCAGTAGGAAAAAGGGTGGGTGGAAAAGGGAAGTCGGGTAGGGCCATCTGACTTCAGTTGCTTGTAGGTAATTCCTAGCCTCAAGTCACTGGGTTCTGGGCTCACTTGCCAGCTCTTCTTGCTGGCTGTGACCTTGGACAAAAAACTTCAATCTTTTTAGTCAGTTTTTCTATCTCTATGAAGAGGATAAGAAGGGTATCTGCATCTTGTTGTTTTTAAGAATTAAATGAAATAATGTGTGGAAGGCTCTTAGTATAAATATGGCAGGTACTAAGCATCAGTGAACATTATGATTGTTGCTATATTGTTATTACTATCAGCTGTCTTGGGACACTTCGACTTAATTCAAGCTTTTCAAAATCCCAAGTTGTAAAATAAATATTCCCACAAATTCTCAAACATTTCTTGCTACATGGGATGAGAGAAAATTACACTCATATTCTAGTTTCTTCTAGTCCTTCGAACACTAAATAACTTATGATTTCTGGTCCTGCTGAATATCAGTCATTTAATTTGACAACTGCATACGAATCATAGCTCAGACTCTGTGGGATGGTTTTAGATGAGAATATACTTGTGTCTGCTGTTGATTTTATGTGTTAGTCTCTTAGATAATTGGTGTTATAATCCTGAGTATGTAAAAAAGATTAAAATTTTTTTCTTCCACAATTAATCCCAACTTTATTAGTGGATTTCATTTCAATAGTTTGACTAAAACAAACTCATGGCACAATGTTTGATAGGTATTTTTGTTTCTTATAAGGGTTTCTTGAAGGCCCTTTATGCCAATGTTTACAGGTACTAAGGACTCAATCCAGATATGGAACCATAAGATTGGACCCAAGAATTTTGGTTAAAGAGAAAAAAGACTTTCTCTTACATGTTATCAGATTTCCTCTTCTGTACCCATGCTTACCTGGGTTCTGACTAGACAACTCAGAACCTTCCTTCCTGGGGAATTAGTGAGTAATCTCTCACCGACTCTTTATAACCAGAGACAGGACAGAGCATGTCTGTGGATCTTTTAGGCTTCTGCCAAACATTAGTAATTATTTATCCTAATATTCTTAGAGTCCCTATTGTATTTTTAATAGCTTCTTAACTCTTCAAAGTGCTTTCACATGCTTTTATCGAGTCATGCTTTCAGTGAGCCTCTGAAAAAGGTAGAGCATGAGTCATCTTACTGATGAGAAATTGGGGCCCGGAGAGTCTACACAACTGACTAAGTTGCTGATAAAAGGCAGAGCCAGGATGAGCATTTGGCATCCCTGATTCCAGGCAGGGCAATGTAAGGAGAGGAGCCTGTGGTTCAGGGGCACAGAGAACTTATGTCGAATCCTAATCTGACCACTTCCTGGCTACATATCTTCATCCAATAGTTAACCTCCACAAGTCTCAGCTAAGTCATCTAAAACTGGGATTAAGATTAATATTTCACAGGGTTCTTGGGTGAATTAAATGTATGCACAGCAATGGAGTACCTCGCCCATGATAGATGTCTCGGGAGCATTTCCCTCCTCCCATTATTTATCATTCACCTATTCTCTTTCACCCATCCCTTCATCTGAATATATGTTCATAAATCTCCCATGTGATTGATTTTAGGAGGCAGTGTGGGATAATGAAAAAAACAGAACATAGACTGTGGAATCCGACAGGCCTGGGTCTGAATTCTCCATCATTTGTTAACTCTGGCCCCTGGAACCTTGATTCCTTAGCTTCCTCATCAGTGAGCAGGAACAATGATTCCAACCCATTAAGAGTGATATAAAGATTAAGTGAGAGAACATATGCAAAGTATCTACCATCTGGCAACCATAGGGTTGGTTCATGGTAATTTCCAACCCCCTCTTCATTCCTGAGAAATTAATCCAACATGTTCCTAAGAGATGCCTACTATGTGCTATGTATTCACTACACCAGCAGCCCTTGGTGTTAAAGTAATAGGGATTTGGTCAGTTATGAGTTATGTTTATGGTTAATTCGTTTTTCCTGCAAAATAGAAAAGCCCCCAGATTATCCTAACAATGATGCTTCTCAGGCTTTGACATGCCAGGTTTGTCCAAGCAGAGTGTCACACCTGTGGTTGTCATATTCTTGTGAGTTCCATGGCAAGGCTTAACCAGGGCCCCAGCGTGGCACACAGCCTCGGCCCTGCAGCTGACCTGGAAAGGGAGTCTTTACTGAAACCACAGGGCCCCTTCCTGTACCAGACTTTGTATTCCAATAAAAGATGCTGGCCTAGAGAGCCATCAGCTCACAGCCCCGGCCCTGTATACCGTACTCTGATGATGCAGCAAACGAAGGCACAAGAGAGATGCATGAAAACTCCAGAGTTTATGCAATAGTTCGGACTTTCCACGAGCCACATGTGTCTCTATTTCATTCCTGTGCTTTCTGCTTTAATGCCATCATCTCTGTGGATCTTGTCCTTGTTATTCTCTACCTTTATTATGTTTGACAAAAGTTAGGTGAAAAAAATATATATAAGAAGAGCTACCTAACATGAAACAGGAAACAAAGGTAGTTGGGGTTAAAATGCCTGAAAATGGGGCACCTGGGTAGCTCAGTAGATTAAGCATCAGACTTGATTTCCACTCAGGTCATGATCTAAGGGTTATGGGAGCCTGTGTCAGGCTCCAAGCTCAGCTCTGCTTCTCTCCCTCTCCCTCTGCCCCTCCCCCACGCTTGTGCATGCTCTCTCAAAAATAAATAAGTAAATCGTTAAAAAAAAAAAAAAATGCCTGAAAATGAAGAGAAGCTAAAATCATAGGAGACATGTGAAGTAGATGCCAGACTCTAAAAACACATATTACCATTCAGCAGTATGACTCTGGTGGCTCTTTGAAGATTTTCACTGCTGCCCTTTATTTAATTGTGATTTTGCAAAGCCTGAAACTTTGTGGGTTCTTTGTCCTTCTTAAACTCCATTTCAAGTGTACGTGTGTATACGTGTGTATGGGTTTAAGATTAGGTGTTAGAGCTTTTCTTCTCCTTCCATCCATCCATCCTTCCAACTTCCCATCCTTCCTTCCTTCCTTCCTTTCCCTCCCTCTCTCCCTCTGCTCTCCCTCTCCTCATCCCTCTCTCCCTTCTCCCTCTCCTTCTCCCTCCCTCCCTTTCTCCCTCCCTCCCTTTCTTCCTTCCTCCCTTTCTCCTTCCTTCCTTCTTTTCTCTTTCTTTCTTTCTTTCTTTCTTTCTTTCTTTCTTTCTTTCTTTCTCTGTCTTATGACACAATAAGGCTCTGATTTCCAGTGTCCAGCCACAGGACTCCCAGCGGCCCTCATCATTTGCAGTGGTGAGTCCCTGAGCTCGCACCCTGGCTGGAGAGGGCCCTAAAATGGCACCATACTCCTTTGGGAATCCATATGGGAAGTGAAATCTCTAATATCAGGTTGGTTTCTAGAAAAAAGGGAGATTAAAAGTCTGCAGTACAGTCTGGGTTTTTCACAAGCTTGTGTTTGGACTTGTGCTTGTTCTACAAACAGCTCGCAGAGAAGACAGATGTGGCTGTTAGAACTGCAGACAGTCTAAGAACAAGCACTAAGAGGGAGCCACACACAGGTAAGGACAGAGCCAGGCAAGAAGCCATCATTATACCAGGATCTAGTCTGCTTTCTAGAAGGTTGTTGCCTGCCCGTAAAGGGCTTGGGCTTATTTATGAGACAATGAAAGACTGTGTTTATTAGCTGTTGTCTCCCAGCTCCCACCACCCCTCACCCACCCCCAACCCAGTTTAAAAAAAAAAAAAAAAAAGGTTCTAGAGGAATCATTCAAAATAAAAGTCAGCTCCAGCACAAAGGCCACACTCCTTGCCTGTTGGCTTTATTCTATTCCTGAGTGAACAACATATTCGGCGTATTCTCAACAGCCCAGGGAATTGTTCTCTCCCTATAGACTATTAGCTTCCATTTTTTCAAAGCATCTCTGAGTATTTAAAAATGAACATTTTTTTCAAAAAATCAGGGAACAGTTGGCATGCAGCCAGCATCTCAAAGACAGGGATAAAATCTCAAACCTATAGCTCAAGTGAATGAGGGGTCTGTGGGGACAAAACAAATGCAACCTAAGTGTTAAAAATTGACCTCAGAACCTAGGAAAATGTTCTCTGTCCCTCAGTCTCCCAAGTCTCTCATCTTCTCAAGGTGAAAAAGAGACGGGATCCGTCTCTCTTCTGTGTTCACACGTCTTCTCTATCCCTTTTTCTTTCTTTTCTGGTTTGCTGCCTCTGTTCCTTATTTCTCCTTCCTCACCCCATCTCTCCACCTTTCCCTTTTCCTTTCTGAGTTTCTCTCATCTCTTCCTCATGAAACCCCTCTTCAACAGACAATATGAAATTGGATTATATTTTAAAATATTTATGAATAAGTTTCTATATCTTCTGTTCTTACTGTTTCATCTGAGTGAGCTGAAAAGTTCAGTTCTCTCTGTGCCGATCACACATGAATGACGTATGTGTTAGGTTGTTGGAAAGACTTACAGGATTCAGACAGGTTGTGCTGGTGACACAGCTTTAATATGAGCAGGTAGTACAACACAGCACCAGTGGGAGAAAGACCTGCACCAGATGGGGTCCGAGATCTCAGGAGCAGACTTCTATGTCCATCCACAGCTGGGCCACACAGAACAAGCTCCGTCCCCAGTTCTCAGCTGACCACCGGGATGTGTGCAAAGGCCTGGGCCCCAGGAACCCTGAGCTCGGCTCCTGGTGGGGTCTCTTAGAGTGAGCTGGTTACATAGGGACATTCCAGCCACCTGTCCAGCCCCACCTGTCCAAACCCTCAGCTCCACCAAAACCGAGTACAAAGCATAAATCCCATTATTTTCACTCAGCAACACAGCAGGGTGGTTCATTCCCTACCCAAACTCACAGACCCATGATGGCAAAACAGCATTTATCTCCAGTTAATGCATTTTGAAGTTTTGATCAGGACAGCTTTAGGAACCCTGTACATAAGTGTTTGGTCAGCTCACCCCTGCTGAGATTAACCTACTGTGCACTCTGTCTCTTAAAAACAAAATACTATCTATTTACACTAACGTGGCTCTTTGCTGTGAGCCTCAAGTCTGTGTTTTCCGAACAGATACCTCCCAGGCTGATTACACAAAATGGAAGGGATGAGCCAAGGCAGGCTGCTCCTGCTCCCTCTGACAGGCTTCCTTCTCGGCCCTTACCTTCCACTTCATCTCCAGGATGGCCTTCTCTACCTCCTCCAGGGCTCGCTCTCGCCTTTCCACTGCCCTCTCCCGCCATTCCACGGCCCTCTCCCTCCTAAGCACCTCCTTTTCCCTTTGGCTGGCCCACAACGCCAGGGCCCCCACCTGCTCCAGGAGCCGGGCCCAGTCGCCCTCGATCCCTATGGGGAGCTGGGGCCCCTGGGGCCTCGGGTCCTTGCGCTGCCCCACCTGACCATGGCCAGTCCTCTCCAGCTCCTCTCTATGCATGCTCTTCAGATGTTTCCACAAGGCTGTGGTGCCCACGTTAACCCCGGGGCCACGGCTCACCTGCCTGCCGCACAGGCGGCAGGTGGCGTATTGGTTGGGGTGGTGGCCGGCACGAACAGGGGCCAGGTGGAAGTACTCCCATACCTCTGAAAACCGGGTCCCCTTGTTGTGCGGCAGAGGGGTGGGCATGGCTCTCATGAAAGGGCCAACCAGTTCTCCCTTCTCACTCACTGCCTCTTCCTCCTTCATCTCTAGGTGTCCTTTTGCTTTCATCCTGGTTCCCTCCTCTTCCTCCTCTTCCCGCCTCATCCTATCTCCTCTTCTGCAGCTTTCCTTGAGCCAGAAGTCTTAGCTCAACCACAGCTAAAGCAAAATGAGTAATTGGGAAGGGACTGTGGTAACTTTTGGGCATTCACAACAGTGGTCAAAGGCTGACCACACCTGAGTGGTGTGGTGTTTCCTCCTTTCCACTTCACAGGAGAGTCAGGGTGATTCAGAGCCACATGAAAAGCCCTCTGAGGCTCCCATGTACATTATCTCCAGGCCCCAGATGCGTATTGATCCCTCCTTGTCTAGACCAGAAAGGCAAAGCCCAGAAATCACAAAGTTCTTCAGTGAATTCAGGGTCCTCTACAGATCAAGCACCATCCCACACGTTTCTGAACATTGGCAATGTCGGGTTTTCTCTTGATTCCCTCCTGGCCGCTTCCACTGTTTCTGTGCTCGTGGATGCCTATAAATGGGTTTTGGAGGCTCTGAACCCTCAGGCTGCTCACGACGTCCAGGGCTGGGGCGTCACTGGCCTTCCTCAGAGGAGGGAGAAGCACACCCAGAGAGATGCTGATGTGGGAGACACTCACACATCCTGAGAACTGGTGCAACAGGCAGTCCAAACACTGGGTAAGAAAGTTCCCAGTGTGATGTCAGTTTGCCCCTAGAGAGGTAGGTCCCTCGGGAATGAGATTCTAAGAATTCCAAACAGCAGGCTTAGCTGTTTTCAGCAGGACAAGCTGGCATGGACAGAGGAGAAGGAGGTGGATCACATCTCCACACACCTGTCGCCCGACGGTCTTCAGCAAGTAGCTTACACTGCGCCTTCCCTGGCACCATCACCTGCAAAGCCAATAGCTGAGAAGACCTTCCCGATGGCAGCTTGCTCCAGATGTTTGCCTGATTCACCCCCACCGAAATAAATAGATGGATAATTAAATTACATTGTAAAAAATAGCCTGACATCTCTCTCCTTTTGGGGGTCATTTCTTAAGTAATGGAGAGCCTTCTTTGTCAAGCTTTGCAACCCCAAAGAGTCAGGAAACACTCCCACCTCCCCAACCCTACAAGTGGGTACTTACAGTCAAGCAAGGCTCTGAACATGTCTCTGAGGGCTCTGGTGTGGGGTGAGCACTCCTGCATGCTGTGGGTAGCTATTAGCTGACTCCTGCCTCCAGGGGGAGGGCACCTGCAGTTCCTGTTCCCTCCCACATCCAGAGAAGCCTTCTTTCCAGGTGGGTGTGTCCAAGCCTGCCCACACACTGAGGCAAACTTTGTCTCTGTCCCCCCACCCCAAAAAAGAGGTTCCTGGAACAAGGCTGGTAATAAAACAGTAAGTCAAGCACCTACAAGTCTTAGCTCTGTTTCCAGATAACTCGATCATCTGGCCTCTTAAGCAAAGGAAAATACTGAAGGGGGGAAAAGGATGAGATTTCAGCAGAGAAACCACAGGCCTCAACGACATCTGTGCTTTCAAATATTTTGTCCAGTTGTTAGACCATGAGTCTCAACGTTGGGTTTGGAAACTATGTATTTACAACTGTAAATACAGTCAGTGGAAAAGAACTTGCAGAAAAGGGAAGATTAAGTGAAAGGAAACCTCCCAAGTTTAAAGAAATCTGAGAAGTTGAGAGACAGATTTGAGGTTGCTTTTTATTATATTATGTAACTGGAATTGGCAAGGTTGAATTGCTATTGGCTTGTATTCTCAGTTGGAGGGAAATAAAAGAATAGTCACATAATAGTCACATAAATGCTATATTTATGTATATGTATATTTAGGAGGGAGAACCTACCAAGAGGAGACAGGAACATTTTGAAGAAGGTGTCTGTAGAAGGAAAATTCTTGAGTTATAGAAAAGATGGAAATGGCAGACTAGAAAACAGAGACTGAAAGATGAATTTCAAGTGAAGAAAGAAGGTTGAGGGGAGAAAAGACTCCAAAGAGAAATGAAGAGTTGGTAAACAAATAGGAGAACTTTAAAAAAAAAAAAAAAAAAGATTCTTCTTTCTAAACTAAAAAATTATTTTTTTAATGATTCTGCAGAAAGCCCTTCTGAAAAGTTTCTGCCCAAATTTAGGCAAACTGAATCTGAGCTAATTTACAAATGGTCAGCATTTCAGTATTTCATCTACAGAAAAAAAGGAAATGATCATTCTTACAGCCAGATGTGAATTCACTTTTCCTGACTCTTCAGTCTCATGCTCCAATCTCCCGCCGGCTTCCCTCTGCTGCCAGGAAAATGCCCCAACTCACAGGAACCCTTTCCATCTCTCCATCTTTGTGAATTCCCCACTAGTTTCCGCAACAGCCCACCTGTGGAGTCCAGGCCCCTCTCTTCCTGTCTGCAAAATACAACTCTGTTCTCCGATTCCCAGAGTTCACCCTTCTCTGCTGTCCTACAGAGCTGCCCAAATATTTTCTGCCACTTACTACATCATTCTTTGTGCAATTGCGTAGATATTCTGTGTATACTTAGAATAATGTGTTAGAGAAACCAATTTTTTGGCTTGTCTCCTGAATGCAACAGCCGCACGTTAAGTGAGTGAGTGATTGTGATTTCTCAATGAGGAAATTGTGTGTGTACACTCATGGGTGTATACACACAAACTCTTGTCCATATTTACTTCATATATATTTTTTTAATTTAACATGTTTTTCTTCTGACTCATTTGGAAGTTCCCAAACAACGGTAATTCTGCTTGCTCAGCAAAACCCTCTAAACTTGATGTTTCATAAGAGGTTTGACTTCAGTTTGAGCTGGTTAAGTCTGTGGCTTTTCGAATTTAGAGAGACTGGGAAGGAGGAGTTCAGGACAAGAACCACATTCTGAAACAAAAATCTTGGAACACAGTTTGGAGGTGGTAAGAGAGTATTTGAAATGTGACTCACTCCATAAAATCTGAATTCAGAGAATCCACAAGAGTTAAAGTTTTTTAATACTTTTATTATGTTGACAAGAGATTTCTTCAGTAAGCCTGTTGTCTTTATAAAATAATGGAACCCGTACTTGTTCCTGATATTACCGTATCATCATTTTATGGTGGGTTAACCGAGCATGGAGAAAATGAGTCATGAGAGTGGTTTAAAGTATTGCCGTTAATAAAAACCTTTACCACTTTAAAAAAAAAAAAAATTCATTTCCTGTAACTCTTACATCCCTTCCTGGACCATCTGAAGATGAACATCAATCTTTGGCATTTTACTGAATTAAAGAAATTGAACCCTCTTTTCTTTATTAAATAAATTATATTTTAGGGGACCTGGTTTTACATTTGATTTTCCAGGACAAAAAGTGACATTATGTCATGGGTCTGTGTGGCTGATCCACGCACATGTCCCCATTGTCAAGTGCAGAATGAGTGGAAACACTGGCAGCTGCCGTGTTCTCTATGTGCCATTCTGCATTTCACAGACAGTCCCCTCTGAAAGTCTGGTGATTTCCTTGGGCTTTTTGTAGGGATGTATGGGGAGGGTGCTAAACTGTACCTCGGTAGGACCTCACCAGAAAATGCTACTCTAGTATCCTTAAATTTGGTGTCTCAACTCTGCTCAGGACCAGACTCTCTGGGTATTATTAGTCTGTGGGGAAATTGGCACCCCAAGTATTACGTATAGTTCATTGTTCTTTACTAGTTAACTAGTGAATCCATCCATTGTGGAAATTATTTGAGAACAAGAACCAGGGCTGGCTGTGTGTGAAATACATATATCTCTTGATGAGAAAACAAAAAACTATAAATGGGATTATAATTTTGCAGTGTCTCCAATAAAATAATGAGGGTCCTATAAAGTCTTATTGGATATTTTCACCAGGCTGTTGAAATAAACTATCATCTCACAAAGAGCAAATACAGTGTTGGAAGTAAAACATAACTGACCCTACCTCTAAGCTTTCTGGTTTTGTAACATAAGCTTTTTCAGTACAATGTGTCTTACCAGGAAATATCTTGGACTGGGACTGGAGTGGCAGAGTTCCCAATTGTGCCATTGACTACATTCCACTCCCTTTCACTATTCTGTGATTCGGGGCCTTGCTTTCCCCATCTGTCAAATGGCAATGATAAGGCATGTCCTACCTGCCCTCTAGGATTGTTAAGATGATAAAATGAAAAACCAATTACATAAATTCTCTACAAGTCAAAAGTGAGATGTTTATAATAACGGTGTCTGTGGTTATGACTATAAGTAGTACTTTACATTATTTTGGGAGTGGAAACAACCAAAATATGGATATCTTTTAGCTTTTAGTGTAACAGAATATTCTTTTCTGGCTTCTGCCTGTTAGAGCTTCTCCATTTTTCTAGTCTTTGGCTTCCATCTAGTATTATTTTATTCTTCCTGTATGCAGTTGTGATCTGCCTTCTCCAGAACCCAGAATCCAGACTTGCAACATTAGTCTAGTCCTAGATTCTTCATAAGTTAACCTATGATTCCAGCTCTGAATTCATGATATCTCTATAGGAGACAGCCAATTTGTAGCTCACATTTTCACATAACCTCTGAAAGGTAAACACAGCTTTGTCGAAAGTGGAGAAAATCCTTTCCTGCCAATTTGCGGCATGTAAGAGTTGGTGGGGTTGTAAGGGGTACCAGTTTCTTCTGAATTTGCAAATAACCCTTTCTATGTTCTGCCTTTACCCCCAGAGAACATTTACCTGCTCCCTGAGGAATGTATTTCCCACAGCAAATCTCACATGGTTTATAGGAGGAGACTTTCCTCAAGGTGAAAAAGAAGGTAAGGAAATCAGTCAGTGGAAATGGGTTTGGCAAAAAAAAGAAAGAAAACAAAGAAGAATAGAAATTACCATTGACCAGGTTGATCTTGGCATTTAAAAACGACTCTCATTCCAAAACAAACATCATCTTGCCTACCAGGTGCTATTTTCTGATACCGTATCTAGTGCCTCTAAGAGGACCGGAGTGGGTCACATTTCCCAAAATTAAAAAATACACTTGACTTCTTCTTTTTCTTTTTTTTTTTTTTTCCTAAGATTTCTTAGAGAGAGTGTGCACGAGCAGGGGGAGGGCAGAGGGGAAGGAAGAGGAGAAGCAGATTCCTCGCTCGATGCCAGGACCCTGAGATCATGACCTGAGCCAAAATCAAGTGACCAGCTGAGCCACCCAGGAGCCCCACACCTGATTTCTTTAACTCACATATAAATGCTCATGTTTTATTTAACTGTTAGTAAAAGCAGATGTCTTATAGGAGGGCAAAAAAAGTTTAATTCAACATACATTTATTAATAATTTCATTTATCAGATAACTTAGCACCACTGCTTTAAATCAATAAACAAATACTTTCTACTTTCTCTTGTAAGGCTCTGAGTGGGGTGGGGTGTGGAAGACTAGAGGAAGTATACATAAAGGACTGGGCTTTATGACAAGGAACTCCTCCAGGAGGATTAAAAAGTCTTGGAGCTGGAACACACATAGAGGCAAGCTCAGGTGAGAACGTACAAAGCCTTATTTTTCAGAGGTAGTAAACAGGCAGAACGATCCCAGCCATTCCCTGCCTGGGACAACAGCCCTTCCCCTTTCTCTTGAGTCATTCTTTTGCTCCAAGCTCAATATGTTTTCAACAGTAACTGAGTCCCATAGCTCTTGCTACATTATTACTTTTAACTGATAAAATAAAAAGTTCATGTTGATGAACGATTGTATCAATCCACTTGATTCATTTTTAGACTCTTACTGGGTTTGTTACTCACTTGAAAATAATTCACCCTTAATAACAATGGATGCAATCCTGAAAATACCTCTTAAAGGTCATTAAACATATGTTCTCCTGTTAAGTAAGCCCTGGCTTGATATGCTGGGTTACCCTCCTAACCATGAGGCCAGGCAGTGTGGTAAAACTGCGTTTAGTTATTATTTTGGCAAGCAACAACTTCAAAACTAGCATTTAGAGCCCATCATGTAAAAAAGCTATGGAGAGTCCAGAAAGTTCTGGCCTACAGTGACAGATGGTTTTACATTAATTTCCTGCTGCCATGTGTGCTATTTGGAGGCTGGACTAACAGTGGCAGTTAAATAGTTTCTTTTTCTAAAGGAGACTCACAAGACCCAAAATGACAATGGTTATAAATCTATAGCTTATTTCAGGAAAAAAGATACAATATAAAAACACCATTAAAGTAAGGGTACATATCACGTGTCTAGATTTACAGCAAGGGGGCCAGTGAAATCAGGCATGGAGTTCTTTTTAAAGGGGGGGGGGAATGACCAATATGGCAGAGAATACCTCAGAAATGGGAACCCAAAATGAATCTTGGCTGAGGTTGTTTTGTATTTTACTTAGACATATTCCTGCTATGTAACCAGACTCGACAATAAAGCCTTCCCAGGTTCTAGCCCAGGTCACGTGCAAATGATCAATCTCACTGTTTCCAATAAACAATGCTGGTGAGCTAGGACAGCTGGCCCCCAACCCCCTCAGACCCATGGTCACAAATAAAGCAACACTATTAATCGATACATTTTGTGCCTTGACCATGGATCAATACCATGCAGGAGCTTGAGCAAAACAGTTTAGGTTAACAGTTTAGACCTGCTGGAATAAACCCTCAATGTGCAGAAGCTGTGACTTGACCATTTTAGACTGTTACTGTAAACTGGGCCATCCCCAGCCATGCCTCGACATCGTTTTATGGCTCATACAGAAAACACTGGTGACTGATCTTGTCCCGGATCTGTCTTGTAGGAATATACATTACTAATGAAGAGAGAAAAGACAAAGGTGGATTTTTGGAGCTGAAGTCTGTTTTGACAAGGGTGTATGGTAATAAACCAGCCGAATCAAACAACCTGACCATCTGGTGTATGGCTCTGTCTCCAGTCCCCGGAAATGAAGTGTGGAATATCTCATCTGAAAAGATCACTTTTTCCTTGGGTGAGTTGTCTATTTAATAAGGTCAACCAGGGGTGATCAAGACTGCCATAAACTCAGAACCCTTCTAATTAGAATAAATAGAACACTCATTATTTCCATGGTAGTTTAATCTTGGAAAACTCTTTACACCACTCAAAATTATTAAATTTCATACTATCAAAACTTTTTTGACAAAACAATGGGACTGTGCTTAAAAGAATTTCTTCAAATAAAAAGTAGCTGATTCCTGTTTCTGAGAATTTCTGGTGAATATGGCAAATTTTTTTCAACTTTCTTTAATAATAGCTTTTTGCTAACATGCCATATAATGAAAATTAACACTAATATATTGATGATCAAGAGAGATTCTTAAAATCCTACAATCCCTTCTGAGTCACTAAAAACCTTCAATTATATATATAGAACTTACAATTTTAATACTTAAGTATTAAATTATATATAGGATTTATAATTTTAATACTTAAGCCATGTATGAGATATAAATAGCTTGAGGATAAGGACTCTATCCTAATGATTTTCATGCCCCTAGGTTGAAGCATAGAATCTGACACACTGAAGATTTTTATGACTTGAAAATTGATATGCAGGATCATTCTACTTATCACAACATTTGCTTAACCAGAATATTCACTACTCTATACCTCACCAAATAATGGAGATTTTTCTACCTAAAAGATGTGAACAAATGTCTCAACAAATACAGCGACAACAGATTGCCTATAAAAAATAGAAGTTTGTAACGACAACTATCAAACATGCACAGATAACAGTAAAGTAAAACTTAAGCAGATTTGTTAGCCATTATCACAACCCTGCAAGACCATTAACATCTTTTACCACTTTCCTATTTTCAGAGATACTGTAGTCTGTAACATACTAGTAAAATCCAGGATAGCTTATAAGGAAAAGTTTCCCTTCGCTTCAAGGCCACTGTCTGTGTCTTGGGTCCTACCCAGCCCTTTCATAAATGCAGGCAGTTGGTTCCTGGGAGCCTTGGATGGGAAGGGTACATGGCTCAATGCAAATCCACCATTGAGGGGCAGGTGCCGTTCTGAATCTGGGACAGTGGCATCGTGCTTATAATGCTGCACACATGTCTCCCTATGAACTCTGAGTTAATCATTCAGAAGTGGTCATGGATTTACACTGGAACATCCATACTCAGTTTTGTCTAGTTCCTTCAGAGATAAATGCACGTCCTTTCTAGAAGGCTGGACACAGTTAAGGGCTACAGTCTTAGAATAGGGTAAAGGTAACTGGTTCTCACGTAGATTTGCCAGTAACTTTGGCAGACTCTAAGAACATGAGCTAACACCCAAACAACATTAAATTCCTAAATCCCATCACAGAACCATGTTGAAAATTCCAATCTTTCCTGACATTAAAACTGAGTTTTTCTTGGTTTAAAGGTTTTATTTTATTTTATTTTCTTAGAGAAGTTTTGGGTTGACAGCAAAAGAGGAAGGTGCAGAGATTTCCTATATACCCTCCCCCACACATGTACATTCTCCCTCGCTATCAGCTTGACTCAACACAATGGTTCGTTTGTTACAACTGATGAACCTGCACTGACACATCATAATCACCCAAAGTCCATAATTTACTTTGGGATTCACACTTGGTATTGTATATTCTATGGGTTTGGACAAATGTATTACGACATGTACCTGCTGGTGGTTTCAAACAGCCTTTAATTTTCTCTGCCCTAAAAATCCTTTTTGCTCCTCCTATCCATCCTTTACCCCCAACTCCAATCCCTGGCAACCACTGATTTTTTTTAATTTTTTTTTTTTTAGTCTTTACAATTTTGCCTTTTCCAAATGTCATATAGTTGGAATCATACCATATGTAGCGTTCTCAGATTGGCTTCTTTCATTTCATAATGTGCATTTAGGGTTCTTCAGTGTTGTCTTATGGCTTGGCAGCCTGATTTTTAATAGTACTGAATACTATTCAATTTTATACATGGCGCAGTTTATATATCTGTTCACCTACTGAAAAACATTTTGGTTGCTTCCAAGTTTGGGCAATTATGAATAAAGCTGCTGTGAAGATCCATGTGGAGGTTTTTGTGTGGGCACGAGTTTTCAGCTCCTTTGAGTGAATACAAAGGAGTAAGATTGCTGGACTGCAGGTAAGAGTATGTTTAGGTTTGTAAGAAAACACTTCACTCTCTTCCAAGGTGACAGTACTATCTTGCATTCCTGCCAGCAGCGAATGAGAGTTCCTGTTGCTCCACATCCTCACCAGCATTTCATACCGTCAGTGTTATGGATTTGGGCCATTCTAATAGCTGTGCAATGATATCTCATTGTTGTTTGAATTTGCATTTCTCTGATGACATATTATGCGAATCATCTTTTCATATGTTTATTTGCCATCCATTTATCTTCTTTACTGAGGTGTCTATTAAAGTCTTTGGCCCATTTTAAAATCAGGTAGGTTGTTATCTTACTGTTGAGTCTCAAGAGTTCTTTGTATTTTTCGAATAATAGTCCTTTACCAGTTGAATCTTTTGCAAATATTTTCCTCCCAATCTGTGGCTTGTCGTCGCATTTTCTTGAAGTATGCTAAGTCCTAAGATCAGAAAATAATGACTAATTTTAGGATAATAAGGAAGGGCACTGATCCTGATACCCAAAACATACCACAATTCCAGTTTTACAGGACAGCCCTTGATCTAGTATAATTTTAGGTTCTGAGCAAATGGTTATTTTTAAATTGTCAAATGAATTTTTAGCCCTTATGATCAAATATTAAAGCCAATAAATCTTGAAGAGTGCAGTTTCCCAAAATTATAGCTTACATTCTAGTCACATTCTAGCATGGATCTTTGGGAATGATTTAGAAGATGTAGTGGAGACTCTGTAAAGCAGTATCATCACTGGATCACACTCCCTTACTTGTTGTAAGTTCTGAAACACTTTCTTCCAAACGTACTTTTGCTCATGGTAGTACTGCTGGGTGCTTTATGAACACTGGGAAAACTTCTGATGCCTTGTGCAAGAGTTATTGCTTTATCAAGCCATTACTGTTGTCAGATACTGATATGAAAATACAGGACAAAAATCTAAAGTGGAGAAATTCTGAGAATATTACAGAGCAAAAAGGAGATTTAGTAAGGGAAGAGGAGCTTTTGCTGCCCTTTGTTCCCAAAGAAGAGTTGGAAGCCTGCAAGCTAACAGTCCCCAGAGACAGTCCCTTCCCCACCTACCTCACGGTCTCCCAGGAAGTTCAAATGCTCAGTGATTCTTATTCTAGTAAACTCGGAAAAGGGGAGGGGTCAGGGTCAGGTGATCAGTGGCTCATCAAGCAGACATGGAATACCAGGGCTTGCAGATTCCTGTGACTCAACAATAAATACATTTTTTTTTTTTTAAGATTCTTTCCAAAATATCCTACCCTGCTGTTACCAAACCCCAGTTTGGCTGCCCCTTGCTCAATAGGACAATACTCAAAAGAGAGTTTGGGGTTGTCTGGGTGGCTCAGTCCATTAAGCGGTTGCCTTTGGCTCAAGTCATAATCAATCCCCGGGTGCTCTATGGAGTCCAGCATCAGGCTCCTTGCTCAGCAGGGAGCCTGCTTCTCCCTCTGCCTTCTCTGCATGCCACTCCCCTGGCCTGTGGGCTCTAACAAATACATAAAATCTTAAAAAAAAAAAAAAAAAAAAAAAGGAGTTTTGACTAGAAAGGAATATGAGCTTTATTCAAGAGACTGGCCACCTGAGGAGAAGGTGGACTCTTGTCCAAAGGCTTTCTCCCTAGCCCGGGAGTTTTTAAAGGGGTTCAGGGCAGTTAGTTGGTAAGGGAATGTAGTGCTCTGTAACATTTCTTGATGATATGCAGACTTGGTGGTCCCAGCTAGAGACCTTATCTCAGTGCTGGAGGGTTGTGCAAGGGGGTCTGCTTCCTGTTTCAGGAGGTGTAGGAGTGCTCTGTTCTTTCTAGGAAAGAATGAATGCAAGATCTATAGCTATTCAAAGGAAAGTTAATCGATCACGTGGCCTAAGGGCATTTGCTGAAGTTCAAAGACTACTAGGTTAACAGGAGGGGCCAAGGTAGCTTGCTTCACTGCTATCCTGGCTTACCAGAGTGTCTAAAGTTGTAGCACTGTTGGGTCAACTTTTTTGGCATATACAGAGTTGCCTTGTCTTATTTTGTTTTGTTTTGAGGTGGAGGTGATTTTTTTTTTTTAATTTTAAAACAAAAGTTGAGTGCAAATACCCCCTGGGGTGGGTAATGTCCTCGCTGTCATCAGCTGTTATTCATCATTAAATGGCTTTCCATTTGGGATAGAGAGAGAGTTAGGGGTTGATGAGTCATGTGTGTTTGAGGGTGCATGTGTATTTTGGAATATGGAGAAAGGATCAGAAAGGGATATCTCAATAGTGGGGCAAGAGAACAACTGAATATTGAGGCAGAATATGCCAAATCCTTCCTATTTCATGATTTTTCTCATACCCTGTCTGATCCTAGGGATCCTAAGGGTATCAGTTAAGGACTTTAATATACACAGAAATCACCCAAGAATCTTGTTAAAAAGAAGATTCTGATTCACTAAGTTGAGCTGGAGGGGGAGGGCCTGAGATTCTACGTTTCTAAACACGCTCCTAAGAGAAGCCATGGACTACATTTTGACAAGCAAGGATCTAGCAAGATCTGAAGTTTGGTTCATTTCTAGGTGGACCAGCTAAGGGCTGATCCAAGCTCTGAGGAAGCCCTAGAACTGACCAGCTGCCCTGTGGGACAGACAGACACCTGGCCACTGCTACCCATGAGGGTGATCTTGAGCATCCTGCCAGGCCTGCTGCAGAGGAGACACACTCAGGAGCAGATGAAGTTGCTTTAGGCCAGCAGCTTAATCCCTTAGAACCGGATGCCAAATGTGATGGTCTGAAAACTGACTGACATGCTTCTGCTAAATTCTGCTTTTGACTTTTGGGAAATAGTTTTGTTGTTTTTTGTTTCGTTTTTTTATTTCCTGTTAGGTTTTAGCCACTTCTTTCTACACCCTCTGAGTTTTGTTTTGACCAAGGCAGAGTTTCTACTTTACAAGACAATCTGAAACCAGAAGGACTGTTTTTTTTGTTGTTGTTGTTTTTTTTTTCTGGCTGCAGGTTTCATGTTGAAAGCCATGCATCATTTTTGTTACAGGGCAAAGAGTTCATCTTTAAATACAAATCTTGCAGTGGCAACTTCCTAATACACTGTAAGGATATGTGTGCTGAGAACCCCTCCGATTACAAAGCCATGTGGTGTTAAATATGGCAGAATAATATCTTAAAATAGAAATAGTCAGTAAATGAAAAATAAATGTTTCCCTTTGCAGAAATCTAGGATTAAGCATAACCTATCAACATCTTCTTTTCCAGAAATCAGCAAACATGTTCTGTTTTTATCTGCCTGATAGTAAATATTTTATGCTTTGTGGACCATAGGGTCTCTATCGCAGTTACTCAGCTCTGCCATTGTAGTACAAAAACAGCCATAGACATTACATAAACAAATGGACATGGCTATGTTTCCATGAAACTTTATTTACAAACACAGGTGATGGGTGGAATTTGATTTGTGGGCCATAGTTTGCCACCCTCTGTTCCAGTCAGTCTACAGAGCAAAATACCAAGGCATTCTTTTTCCAGGCCCATGCTTATTAAGGTCACCGCTTTGGCAGATACGCTTATTATGCACCAGCCTTCAGATAGGCACTTAAAGTTGGTCTTCTCTCTTTCAACGTTTAGAAGGAATCCATATGCATTCATTCATCCACTTGCATTTGCCGGGAACCAGAAATACCATGAGGAGCAACACAGTCACTTCTCTTGAGGGGTATACTGATGATGTAGAGTACTAAGGTCCCTGCTAAGTTAAATATTAGGACTCTGAGCACATCACAAAGATCCCTGGGATTCTTCAAGTTTCAGATGGTGCATACCAGGCTGTTTGCAATGGGAAAGTATAAGGAAACAGCATGCACACAAAGCAAGAATCCATGGAGATCAGGTTGAAATATCACCCTTTGGATTGAGCGGATGATTTGAGATGTAAAAGATGATAGGCAGCATCGGGAAATGAAGTGGGGAATGGAATGGGGGGAGGAAAATAATGATCAGATTTGAATGTCATGCTGAAGTGTTCAAATATGTTTCAGATGGGATGGGTGGAAGAAGATTCCACTAGCCTATTTGTATGCTCTCAGGTAACTTTGTACCCATCCCATACCTACCTCCTCAGAGCTTAATAGCAAGGGATCATTTATATGATAACAAGTCAGAGCCAGCTGTAAGCATCACCTACAGCCAACAGCAACAACACTACCAACACTGAAAATAAAACACAGATACATCTTGATTACAAAACACAGATCCCTTCTAATGTACTATGTGCTATCAGGTGACACAATTTATAGAATATATTCTTTTCTCTTAAAATAAATTATAGAACAGAACCAATAGTATAATTTATAATTAAATGTCCAAGTTATTGACACAGCTCATCAGATGTGTGACACGCTACCCAATGTCATTATATCTAGAAAGTTGCAAAATTCCCTTGCCTCAAAATCATTTAACCATATTTAACCTTGACCTTCCTAAAGTCAATAGATCCTTCTGGCATTTGTAGATTGTTTTATACTGCTAGTAGGACTATTTTACAGTTGAATAGTGGGAGCTTTAAGGAACCGATATAAATGTATTATATGATAAAACAATATATTCTAGCCTCCCTTTCATCCCTACCTGCCCCCCCACACACACAGAGAAAAGTTATAACCAAATAAAATTTTTCTGACAAAAACAGGCATTTTAGTAATGGCAGTAATAATACCATTAATCTTAGGCTCATTGATGTTACTTCCGGTTGGATAGTTACATCATTGTTTCTACTCTTGCCAATAAAATTTTACAGTCTTGCAGATTTGTAGATTGTATGATTACTTTGCAAATACTTTGAAATATTAGCTGCTATAGTTGTTCTACCAGTGCTTGGTTAAATGTTATTTTCTCCAGGAAGCTTCTCCTGACTTCCCAATCTCAGCCAGTGCCCTTTCTTTGCAACCCTGTGGTGCCCTACACTCAACACAATGCCTGGCTCCCTGCCTGTTACCTAGGGTCTGGTGTCCTCCACCACCATGTCCCACAGCCTTAATGTAACAGACCTTCAGTAACAATTTCTGAGATAAATGGATAAAGTTGTGGGGAAAATTAGGTCAACACATCATCTTTCTATTACAATATTTTGTTCATCATCATTATTCATTTCATCCTTTCAGGCTCAGTGAACCCTTCCGTAGGCCCTCTGCTTGATGTTGTCACATCAACCGTTGGCACCCAACCTTCTCCAGTCAACAGCATGTCTCCTACAAGTAAGAATGTTTTCAGTCTTACTTTCTTTTTTTTTTTAATTCTTTTTTTTTTTTTTATTTGAGTGTAGTTGACACACAATGTATATTAGTTTCAGGTGTACAACATAGTGATTCAGCTCCTGTTATGATGTGCTCAGCACAATGGTAGCCACTTGTTTGTCACCATACAACACTGTTAAAATACAACACTGACTATATTCCCTATGCTGTGCCCTTCATCCCATGACCTACTTCTTCTATAACTAGAACCCTGTATCTCCTACTCACCTTCACCAGTTCTGCCCATTCCCACCCCCTCCACCTTTGGCAACCATAAGTTTGTTCTCTGTATTTATAGGTCTGATTTGTCCTGGTTGTTTATTTATTTGTGTTTATTTTTAGAGTCCACATATAAGTGAAATCATATGGTATTTATCTTTCCCTGTCTGACTCATTTCATGTAGCATAATAGCCGCAAGCTCTATCCATGTTGTCGCAAATAGCACAAACTCGTCCTTTTTTAAGGATACATAATAGTCCATCTTTCTTATCCACTCCTCTATTGAGTAGACTCTTGGGTGGCTTCCATATCTTGGCTATTGTAAATAATGTTGTAATAAACATACGGGTGCCTATCATATATCTTTTCAAATTCATGTTTTCATGAATTCATTATATGGTACTTCACTTTTTATTTTTTTCTTCATCCTATTTTTCCATAGTAGCTGTATTCTCACAAAGGTTCTTTTTTCTCCATATCTTCTCTGGCATTTGTTATTTCTTGTCTTTTTGATTTTGCCATTCTGACAGGGATAAGGTGATATCTCACTGTGTGTGTTTTTTTTTAAGACTTTATTTATTTATTTGACAAAGAGAGATCACAAGGAGGCAGAGAGGCAGGAAGAGAAAAAGAGGGAAGCAGGATCCCTGCTGAGCAGAGAGCCCAATGTGGGGCTCGATCCCAGGACCCTGAGATCATGACCCACTGAGCCACCCAGGCACCCCTCAGTGTGGTTTTGATTTGCATTTTCCTGTATGTCTTCTGTAGAAAAAAATATGAAATTTTCATATTTGCAGGTTCTCTGCCCATTTTTTTAAATTGGATTGTTTAGTTTTTTGGTATTGAATTGTATAAGTTCTTTATTTTATTTTTTATGTTTTATTTTAGTTCCAGTTAGTTAACATATAATGTTATATTAATTTTAGGTGTACAATACAGTCATTCAACAATTCCATACATAATCTGGTGCTCATCATCTCATCATGACAAGTGCACTCCTTAACCCTCATCACCTATTTCACCCATACCCCCACCCCCGCCCCTCTGGTAACATTAGTTTTTCTCTATAATTAAAGGTCTGTTTCTTAGTTTCTCTCTCTCTCTTTTTCTCTCTGCTTATTTGTTTTGTCTCTTAAATTCCACATGAGTGAGATCATATAGTATTTGTCTTTCTCTGACTTATTGTGCTCAGCATTGTACTCTTTAGCTGTGTCCATGTTGTTGCAAATGGCAAGATTTCATTCTTTGTTATGACTGAATAACATTCCATTGTATAGATATAGATATAGATATAGTAATAGATATCACATCTTCTTTATCCATTCATCTGGATAAATGGAAATTTGGCTGCTTCCATAGTTTGACTATTATAAATAACACTGCCAACATGTATCCCTTTGAATTAGTGTTTTTTGTGGGGTTTTTTGGTAAATACCCAGTAGCACAATTATTGGATCATAGGGTGGTTCTCTTTTTAAATTTCTGAGGAACCTCCATACTGTTTTCCAAGGCGGCTGTACCAGTTGCGTTCCCACCAACAGTACATGAGGGTTCCTTTTGCTCCACATCCTTGCCAACATTTACTGCTTCTTGTGTTTTTTGATTTTAGCTATTCTGTTGAGTGTAAGGTGTTGAGCATCTTTCCATACATCTCTTAGCCACCTGGATGCCTTCTTTGGAGAAATGTCTGTTCATGTCTTCTGCTGATTTTTTTATTGGATTTTTATTTTTGGGGTGTTGAATTTTATAAGTTCTTTAAATATTTTGGCTATTAGCCTCTTATTGGATATATCATTTGCATATATATCTTCTGCAGATATCTTCTCCCTTTTGGTAGGTTGACTTTTTGTTTTATTGATAGTTTCCTTTGTTGTGCAAAAGCTTTTTATTTTCATGTAGTCTTCTAGGATTTTTATGGTTTTAGGTCTCACATTTAGGTCTTCAATTCATTTTGAGTTTATTTTTGTGTATGGTGTTTGAAAATAGTTCACGTTCACTCTTTCACATGTAGCTCTCCAGTTTTCCCAGCACTATTTGTTGAAGAGGTTTTTTTTCCCATTGTATATTCTTGCCTTCTTTGTCATAGATTAATTGACCATATAAGCATGGATTTATTTCTGAGCTTTCTATTTTGTTCCACAATCTGTGTGTTGGTGTTTTTTTTTTTTAAGATTTTATTTATTTGTTTGACAGAGAGAGATCACAAGTAGGCAGAGAGTCAGGCAGAGAAAGAGGGAGAAGCAGGTTCCCTGCTGAGCAGAGAGCCCCATGTGGGGCTAGATCTCAGGACCCTGGGATCAGGACCTGAGCTGAAGGCAGAGGCTTAACACACTGAGCCACCCAAGCATCCCTGTGTGTCTGTTTTTGTGTCAGTATCATACTGTTTTGAATACTATAGCTTTGTAGTATATCTTAAAATCTGGAATTGTGATACTTCCAGCTTTGTTCTTAAGATTGTTTTTGGCTATTTTGGGGTCTTTTGTGGTTGCATGCAAATTTTAGTATTATTTCTTTTAATTCTGTGAAAAATTATGTTGGTATTTTGATAGGTATTGTACTGAATCTATAAACTGAATTGAGTAGTATGGATATTTTAACACTATTAATTCTTCTGATCAGTGAGCGTAGGATGCTTTCCATTTATTTGTGTCATCTTCAGTTTGTTCCATCAGTATTTTATAGTTTTCAGAATACAGGTCTTTCACCTCTTAGGTTAAGTTTATTCTTAAGGTTTTTCTGTTTTTGTTTTTTATTTCTGGTGCAATTATAAACAGAATTGTTTCTTAATCCCTCTTTTTGAGACTTCCTTATTAGTATATAGAAAAGCTTCTGATTTCTGGGTATTAATTCAGTATCCTGCAACTTTATTGAATTCATTTATTACTTCTAGTGGTTTTTTGGTAGTGTCTTTAGGATTTTTTATATATAGTAGCATATCATCTTCAACGAGTGACTACCCTGTTTTATTTTCCATGAGCTATCAATCTTTTAACCAAACAGATTGATAAAGAAAACATTTTCAGAAAATTTGTATGGTTCACAGTCTTTTATCACCTATAAGATTTTAGGCAAATATATTAAGTACTATTCTTACAGCTTTAAAGAGTTAACATAGCTTCCAAAGCCCTTCACTTGAAACCCTGGCAAAATTAGGGTCAATAAATATGCAGTGAGAAATTTAAATTCTGTATTTATTATTAAATAGGTTAATAAATTGACAGTCTTCTCCACAATTGTGTTCTCAGTGGGGTGTTTAAGAAATTGGTTATAAATGGGCATCCTGTGGACCAGATGTAGCTAGATAGTTTTAAATTTAAATTTGTTCTAGTTCATATTAATTTTGACAAAGTTGACTGGTGAGGACTGTGAATTCAGTCTCCCAATGGCATTATTAATAATGGGGGCCAGGCTGGGTCAGTGTTACTCTGGCAAAGGGAGAGCAGTGACTTTCAGAAGGTCGCACGGATGCAAACAAATCATAAATTCCCACGCCTATAGCCTTTGTGTTTAACAAAGAACCATGGTTACTTTCTTTAGTATATATATGTATCCTGTACAAAGGAGAAGTACAGTTCTCGTTTCTTATTTAATTAAAACTATCAATTTTAGCTCAAAATGAGAATGGGAAATGAAATAAAACAAAAGCAGTCAGGAGAAACGAACAATTCTTTCAGCCTGTACCCTTTGGCACATAGCCTGCAGTCACTGTCACAGGTTGATACCTCTTAGAAAATGAAGTATGTGGCCGGGTGGGAAATGTCTGCAGATCACCCAGCAGAAATTTTACATTCATCTGATTTCTCCTAGTTCTTAATGTTTTGCAATTTTTATTGGAAGCTGCTTTTTCTTCCATTCCTAACTCATCATTCAGCAATAAACCTCAGTAGATTATGTTATCCTTCATTCAACAAATATTTGCATAGTCAAAAACAATACCTTAAATTTCTTTAGTACTCTACATATTATCCAGTTACCCAGCTCTCCCTAATCAATTATCTCCGACATTAGCAACTTTTAAAACATATATTGTCTTACATGATTTTGGGGTCAGAAAGCCAGGAACAGCTGAGCTGGATGGTATGTTTCAGGTCTTTTCATGAGGTTAGAGTCAAATGGGGTTGGTTGTGGCTTCAGTTATCTGAAGGCTTGACTGGGGCTGAGAGTTCTGCTTCCAAGTTTGAGCATGTTGTCAGGAGGCCTTTGTCCCTCACCATATGGGCCTCTCCAGAAAGCTTCTTACATTGGAACAGCTGCCTTTGCTCAGACCAAGGAATTCAAGAAACAGAGTAACCAAGACAGAAGTTGCACTGCCGTTTTATTGCACGCATCATTTTGCTTTATTAGAAGCGAGTCACTAAGTCCAGCTCAGACTCAAGAGGAGAATTAGGTTCCACTTCTTGAAGGGAAGAGTATTAAAGAAACTGTGGATGAATTAAAACCACCATATCCTGTCATTTAGAAAATATTTGCACATAAAATGCAATACAGCTTGATCTTTATTATGGGAGGTAGACAGAGCAAGCATTATCATCCCCATTTTCCAGATGAAGTCATTGAGATGAAGTCACTGAGACGACCACACCACTAGTAAGTGGCAAAGTTAGTATTCACACCAGAGTCTTTGGACTCAAATCTAGTTCTTGCCACATTCGATACCAGGGTTTCTCCAATTGGCCTGAACACTTTGTGAGGACAGGGGACATATACCCAGCATGGAGCAGATGCACAAAAGCACTAGTTG